CCCCAAAAAAAAAAACTTGGAAAAAAAGTGCTCTTGAAAGAAAAGAAAAAAAGCACTTTTGACCTCTTGAGAAGCTTGGCCAAACACGCTATAAGTAAGTCATCTTATATTTGATGCAAACATGGAATAACAAATTTTCTAGTTTTATCTATATTGTCGCTTTTTCCGTTTTACTTGTAATTTCAAGTACCATTTGGGAAGTGAAAATTTAGAAAAGACAATCGAAATTGTTAAAATATAGGTGGATTATGTTAAATTAAACATGCATGTACACTAATATTACATTAAGTAAGTAATCTTATATTTAATGTACACGTGGAATAACAAACTATCTGGTCTTATCTATACCGTCGCTTTTGTCGTTTTACTTGTAATTTCAAATACCATAATCTTTTATATAGAAAGTTAAAAATAAAATAAGTGATAATTTGGAAAGACAACCGAAATTATCAAAATATAGGTAGATTATATTAAAACATGCATATATAGTACTGATACTACCTTAAGTAAGTCATCTTATATTTGATGTGCACGTGGAATAACAAACCGCCCAGTCTTATCTATACCGTCGCTTTTGTCGTTTTACTTGTAATTTTTGAGTATCATAATCTTTACATAGAAAGTTAATAATAAAATAAGTGACAATTTTAAAAAGACAACCGAAATTGTTAAAATATAGGTAGTTTATGTTTAAACATGCTTGTATAATAATACCACCTTAAGAAAGTCATCTTATATTTGATTTACAGGTGGAATAACAACATTTCTAACTTTATCTATGCTATCGCTCTTGTCGTTTTACTTATAATAATTTTAAGTACCATAATCTCTTTATAGAAAATTAATGACAAAATAAGTGACAAAATTTAGAAAAGACAACCTAAATTATTACAATATATCTTTTGCAAGATAAAATTGATTACTATCATCAATTCTTTCGAATCCACCACATTATACAAATTACTATATATATATATATATATATATATAATTAATAATTAATATCTAAATTATTTCTAATTTTTGACCTGCCAAAAAGTGTCCTTATAGTCAATTATATCAAAAACTTCATTGGCCCAAAAGCAAACTTTGAAACATAGCCCAAGGGCAGAACAGTCAAAATATTCACATATTTCCTAAAATGTACCCAATAATCCCGAATAATGTCCATCAAAAAATTCGAAATACCCATAATACCCTTACGCAAGGGTTTCCTTTCTTTCTCATAAACAGCCTCACCTTCTCCTCCCCTCATTCCTTCTCCTAGCAGAGAGAGGAAATACTCTTTCCTTTTCTCTCTCTAAAAAGTTCATCCCTTTATATATATAAATCTATCTCTATATTCACATTCTGTATAATTACACCTTATTGTATCAGTTTTGGGTATTTTTGTTTTTGGGTTGGAGGATTTGAGATTTTTGTTTGAAAGAGGTGTTCGAATTAATCGGACGGTGGAGAATTAATTGAGGTATGCAGGCTGATCAGACGGTGATAAGTTTGAGACCAGGTGGTGGTGGTAACAGAAGCAGAGTGCTTGTGGGCCATTCATCTACTAATTCTGATCTCCCTTTGCTTCGTCCACATGGCGGCGGTTCTTCATCTCTTCCCTATTTCAAGGTTCAACCTTTTTTTCAGATCTGTGTATTTTCTTGAAATCTGATATTGTTTTGTGTAGCTTGTATTTGGGCATCATTTATTGAGTATTTTCAGCTCCTATTGTTTCTTAGTGGCTTCCTTTTTGGTGTTTTTTTGTGTGGTAATCTTGATATTTTTGAATCTGATATTGTTTTGTATAGCTTATGTGGCTTTTTTATTGTGTGTGTTCAGCTCTTTTTGTTTTCTTGTGATGGCTTTGTTTTTGTGTTGTTTGTTGCTGTTTTGGTTGATTTTTTTCTGAATCTGATATTGTTTTTGTGTAGCTTGTGTTAAGCTTTATTTACCAATATAAGGTTCGAACCCTGCCGCATAACAAACGACTGGTATTAAGTGAATAAGGGTAGAGGGGCGGGCTCATTATCCACCGAGTTCAGAATTGCGCCCCTCTAGCCTCGGGGATTTCTTGGATATCAAAAAAGAAAAAGGGTCTGTTTAATGGCAGAATGATTAAAAATCTGAGTAATTTTTTTTAATTTGGATATATGGCTTTATTGGGTGTTTTCAGCCGCTTTTGGTTTGCTTGATGGCTTTGCTTTATGTTGTTTGTTGCTTTTTTTGGTGAAGCTTTGATTTTTTTGAATCTGATATTGTTTTTGTGTAGCTTGTGTTAAGTCTTGTTAACCAATATATGGTTTGGACCCCTCCGCATAACAAAAGACTGGTATTAAGTGAAGAAGGGTAGAGGGGTGGGCCCATTATCCACCGAGCTTAGAATTGCGCCCCACTATCCTCGGGGATTTCTCGGATATGAAAAATGAAAAGGGTCTGTTGAATGCGGCAGAATGATAAAAATCTGAGTCTTTTTTTTAATATTTGGATATATGGCTTTATTGGGTGTTTTCAGCTGCCTTTGGTTTGCTTTGATGGTTTTATTTGCTTTGTTTTGTTTGTTGCTTTTTTTGGTGAAGCTTTGATTTTTTTGAATCTGATGTTGTTTTTTGTGTAGCTTGTGTTATAAGTCTTATTTGTCAATATAAGTTGTCTTATTCGCCTCAAGTGGCAAAGGTTGAGGGATTTGTGACTTATGATACTGGTTTGCGTAGAAGGATAGAGCGGCGGGGCCAATTATCCCCTAGTTTGGCTGTGGTTGGTGCTAAGAGTTGGCCCAGACCGATTTCTCGGTCATAAAAAAAGTTGTGTAATGTTCTCGGTTTTTGTTCTTTTATGTCTGTTTATTGGCAGAATGATTAAAAGGTGAGTTTTTACATGTACAACTTTTGGAAAAATTGACGTAAAAATTGATGATTTGTGGTTTATTCATGGGTGTTCTGATTCTTGATTATTATGGTGGTATGTATTGGTTAAACTTTGTCTCATGTTTTTATGGGTCCGTTTGCTGGTAGAGTTACTAAAATTGGATGTTTACATGCGTAGTTTTGTTGTAACAAATAAAAGTTGTCTTTATTCGTGGATTTTCTTTTTCTTGATGATAATGCTGGTATCTGTTGTTACAGCAACGATTACCAATACATATTAGTCGCATGATCTTAATTATTTATCATTTTATGGTGTCTTTTTGATGTAGGGAGAGTAAAAATTAGATTTTACATGCATAATTTTTTAAATCTGTTTCTTGAGGGTAATGGTGTTTTCTGTTATGTGTTGAGGAGAGTGTGACAGCTCATGTCTTGTTTTGGAAATTCGCATAATTTATAGCTCCAATTCATTCTTGGTTGGGTATCTGTGTAAAAAATAGTTCTTGTTACTTCTTTCTCAAAAAAATTGAAATATTAGTTCTTTTACTTATTGGGGTTCATTTGTGTTCTAGAATGTCTATTTTGCCTTGTTTTTTAAGTTGTGGAATTGGGGCTTGTAGATAGTGTGGAAATGTCCGTGCACCAATATGTATTATTTCTGCAGTTATTCTTGTTTTTAACGTCCTAATTCTTGGCAGCTCACTTAAGATGTGTTTCTGCTGTAAATATGGACGGAGAAAAATTTGTAGGCTTTAGGTGGGCAACTAAGGAGTATTGGATTGCCCATAAAGACCCTACTAACATTGAATTCTTACTAATTGTGACCCATTGAGAGAAGTCCAGAGAAGCTATGCTGTTTATATGCACTCTAGTCATCATTTGGTTGCTTTTTTTTCCCTGGTAAAATTGGTGTGCGTCATATAGTAGTAGAAATGCTGCATGGCCTTTGGATATCTTTATATAGGAGTTTAATGTAGATGCTTTGAAGGAAGGGTGATTTAGGAAGACAGAATCGCAGACAAAGTGGACCACCTGGTTATTTGCAGTAAATTCTACTTGCCGCTTGAGAGCTTGAGGAAGAAGCAATGTTTCCTTTTCTTTATATCTCAGAATGCTCAAAAGGAAACAGCTGCTTGTGATTGAGAATTATTTAGTCTTTCCCTGAGATTGACACTTAAGGAGCCCTTTGTAATGAGCTTGTTTATTGAATTGTGACCAGTATTTGATACCTTATTCCTTTTCTGCATAACCATAATTGTCTAATCCCTTGTCAATATAGAGATCTGCTCGTTGTTAAATCTGGCAGAGTGACCTCTGACCCATGGCTGATTCAACTATGTAGCTAGTGTGCAAATTCTGGATGCTATTAAGATCTGCTGTCAGATTCTTTTGCTTGATTTTACCTTAATTACACCATTCTCTTGCATATTCTGGCTTTTGCATCTGATCTTGAAGTATCTTTTTGTTAACCAGCTCTCCTTACGTGGATGTTCTATTGTGACCCATGGCATTTACTTGATAATGCCCTTTTCTTTCATTGTTGAGATTCAATTTAAAAACTCCCTTTATGATACATGTCTTGACTATCCTTTTATCTTTGTAGACTGGAGACTCTCGTTTTGAGGGCCATGAACGCGTTAGGTATACTCGAGATCAGCTGCTGCAACTGAGGGAGGTAATATTCATATCTTTTAAGTTTTGGCTGATGTTATTGGGCTTTAGCTTTTGCTAGTTAGATGTGGAATAACAAGAATGCCCTTTCTCCTACTAATCCCCCTGCCCCAGTCACTAAGGATAGGAAAAAAGAGGATTGTGTTTAAGCCGACCCCCCCCCCCCCCCCCCCCCCCCCCCCAAAAAAAAAAAAAAAGAAAAAGAAAAAGCATGATTATTTTATGTTATATGGTATCCTTTATTTGCATCTCCTTATGGTTTTCCCTTTGGGTTGATTGTTCCCACCTAGGTGGTCGACATTTCGGATGATATTCTTAGAGTCAAACAAGAAGTTGAATCTGATCTGTTTGGTGAAGATGCCAGTCGAGGTCGTGCAGACACTAATGTGAGTATCTGTTAAAAAGGTTATATTTTCCCCTTCTGATTTTTCTGATGACATGGACACCCCACCCACAATACACAGCACATGCACAAGGAAACAGAGTGGGCATGCTGTTCTTTTAGTTGTTTGTCCACACAGAAATACTTTCCCTTCTTTCGTTTGAAAAATGTCTCTTTTTTGTCACTTTCAGTATGCAATTTTCTGTTGCCACACGTTGTCTCATTTATGTTTCTATAGGTGCAGGTCCAGTCTCAGACTCGTTATTCTGAGCCAGACAGTCGTGATTGGCGTAGCAAGTCATCACAATTTGCTGCCCCCGTGGATGACAGATCATGGGACGCGCTCCGAGAAAACAGAGAGTTTGGTGGCCGGCAGGAACAACTTAGCTCACAGTTTGCAAGAGCTCAAATTTCTCCCAACCGAGGGGTAAATCTTAATCTACTGCCTTTTGTATTGTTTCCAGAACACATCCGTTTTTTATTTTAAGAACCTCTGTTAGGGAAACTATCTGGCTTTTTGCTACTACAAACCGGTAGACACCTTTTCCACGCATTCTAAAGTCCCATCTGAAAATGAGAGTGAAGAAAATGAAGAGAAGTTCATTAGTTAATCATTATATAATACCTTTCTCAAATGTAGTGGTGCATCAGGAACTTCAATAATTGGGCTATATTATTTCTTTGCAGTTTACTCCATGTATGTAGAATTAGGTGCAAGTGATGCAGTAATATCGTCTATTATTCAATTATTATAATAATTTAAAAGACAGTTACTCGGATGAAGAGGATATGTCCTATTTCTTCGCATAATTTCCTTTTAGTAATAGCAAGGGCATTTTTGTTGTCATGATTTTGAAAGAACTATATTATATGATATGAAGCTATCTTTGGTTCTTGATCTCAGAAACCTTTATTTTTTCTTGTAAATCAGGGAGGACCTGCTCCTACACTAACCAAAGCTGAGCTGCCATGGTCAGCTCGAAGAGGCAATCTCTCTGACAAAGATCGCGTTTTGAAGACTGTGAAGGGGTAATTTTCTCTCTGTAATAGTTATGCATTTAACAAAACATATTTGCTTATTCGTGGTTCATCTTTCTTTCTTTGTCTCTCTGTCTCGCTGTCCATCTCTTGGTCTCCCATATTCACTGCTTTATTGCCTTATTTTGTTAATGTCTCGGTATCTCTTACATTTAGAACACGACACAGAACTTCCATTGATATGCTGTCACTTGCCCATTAAACTACTTCATCAGTGCACTATAATTGCAGAGAGAGGATGTTAATATGTATTTATTCTGGATGTTTTGTGCATGGGGTTCGTTCTCTCTCTCTTGTGTGTGTTTTTGTGTGCGAGTGACAAGTAAGGAAGGATACATGAGGTTCTTGGTTTCAAAAGTTTGATTATTCGAGAAACATTTACGGCATTATTTGAAGATATGGAATTTGTCTGACTCGTTGATTCCAACTAATATTGATTTGCAGTATACTCAACAAGCTGACTCCAGAGAAGTTTGATCTCCTCAAAGGTCAATTGATAGATTCAGGGATAACAAGTGCAGACATTCTAAAGGTCTGTCTTCCCTTCTCCAGGATACCCCTCTCTATCGTTGTGTTTTTTGCTCACTCCCTTTTCTGCCTTGGAAATTTAATGTGTTTTTATCTTCACTCCAGGGTGTTATTTCCTTGATATTTGACAAGGCTGTATTGGAACCTACATTTTGCCCGATGTATGCCCAGCTGTGTTCTGATCTCAATGAAAAGCTTCCTCCATTTCCTTCTGATGAGCCTGGTGGCAAAGAGATTACATTCAAGCGTGTTCTATTGAATAATTGTCAGGAGGCATTTGAAGGTGCTGCCAATCTGCGAGAAGAGGCGAGGCAAATGACAGCCCCGGAGCAGGAGTCAGAACGCAAGGACAAAGAAAGGTTGATAAAATTGCGGACTCTTGGCAATATACGGCTTATCGGAGAGCTTTTGAAGCAAAAGATGGTCCCTGAAAAGATTGTTCATCACATCGTTCAGGTTGTAATTTCTTGCCTTTTGCTCAGGTCTATTTGTTTCCATGCTGATTGCTGTCTTTAATACCTTGAACTGTACCTTGTCTTTGCTGGTTTTATTCAACAGGAACTATTAGGACAAGATCCCAAAAGTTGTCCGGAAGAAGAGAATGTTGAAGCCATTTGCCAGTTCTTCAACACCATTGGCAAACAGCTTGATGAGAACCAAAAGTCAAGGCGCATCAACGATGTGTACTTTAACCGGTTGAAGGAACTATCTACAAACCCTCAGTTGGTTCCACGTTTAAGGTTTATGGTTCGTGATGTGCTGGATTTGCGTTCCAATAACTGGGTCCCAAGGCGGGAAGAGGTGACACATCATTCTATCATGTATTTGTTGCCTGTTCATGTCGTAGAATTATCTCTTGACGTAGTAATATTCTTTCCTTTTTGCACAGGTGAAAGCGAAAACCATCACCGAGATTCATACAGAAGCGGAGAAGACCTTGGGGTTGCGTCCTGGTGCCACTGCAAGCATGAGAAATTCTCGTGGTCCTCCGAGTCCTCAAGGCAGCTTGAGTCCTGGCGGCTATCCTATGAATCGGCCAGGGACTGGTGGTATGATGCCTGGAATGCCGGGAGCTAGGAAGATTCCGGGTATGCCTGGGATGGATAATGACAACTGGGAGGTTCCTAGATCCCGGTCGATGCCGAGAGGTAATGGACCAATGGTGCAGCCTGGTGGACGTGGTCCGCCACCACTGGTCGGCAAGTCGCCCTCATTGAACCCAAGGCTTCTGCCTCAGGGTAGTGGTGGCTTCGTGAGTGGTAGGCCTAGTGCCCTCTTGCAAGGTAGCGGTGCACCTCCTGCTCGCCCATTGGGCTATGGTTTTGGCACGGAGCCTGCATCACAGGTTCCTGGACCAGTTAGACCTACAGCAACTGTTTCTCCAGTTGCCGAAAAGGCACCCCAGGCTCCTGCGGCAAGGTCGAATCCTGATGAACTAAAGAGAAAAACAGTATCTCTTCTGGAGGAATATTTTAGTGTTCGGCTTCTTGATGAAGCTTTGCAGTGTGTTGAGGAACTCAAATCCCCAGCCTACCATCCTGAGGTTGTCAAAGAAGCCATATCAATTGGTCTAGACAAAAGCCCGCCACGTGTTGAACCAGTTTCACAGCTTCTTGAATATTTGTTTGTTAAGAAGGTTTTTACCGCTGGGGACTTGGGCACCGGATTGTTAAACTTTGCCTCTCTGCTGGATGACCTTGCCATGGATTTACCAAAAGCACCGGCCAATTTTGGGGAGATAATTGCTAGACTAGTTTTGGCGGGAGCATTGGACTTCAAGGTGGTCAATGAGATCCTGAAGAAGGTAACCGATGATCTCTACCAGAAAGATGTATTTACAGCTACAATGGGAGCTATTAGCTCTAGTCCTACAGGCCAAGCCGTGTTGGATTCACAAGCACCTGATGTTGAGGCGTGCAAAACACTTTTCCAATAAAAGCTCAACTCTTCATGAAGAGCGATTTTCTGTAACCTCAGTAGATGGAATGTACTCAAACTCACTTTTCAGCCTTTCTTGTTTATGCCCGGAGTAGAGCCAACTGAATCGCTGTTTATCGTTGGAGTTGGTGCAGTCAAGACCAGGTTGATGTCAAGTGAGTTGTATATTTTTCCAAGGTGAAAGTAGTGTGTTCAAAGAAAGATTTTGCCTTTTGAGATTGGTTGACTAAATTCCATAATTGCTCTAGGCAAAGAAAGCCCTCATTTTGTATTCCATTAGTTATTTATTTATTTTTCCCTTTTGACTAGTTAAATTTTAAGTTTTGTCAAACTTGTGAGTTCATACTGCAATCTGCAACTGCCTAAGCCTTTATATACCATTTTTGAAGGAAGATTTGAAATCATAACTGTCATCTGTTGGTACTTCTATATTTCTGTGCATCGCTATGCTTCTTTGTTTGTCTCCAGAGTATGTTGTGTCCCAAATGGGAGCTTCAAGTTTATTCAGCAATAAACCCAGTGTGATCACACAAGTTGGGTTTTGGAAGGGTGATGTGTATGTGTTGTTTTCGGTAGACCGTTTCCGGTAGATCATCCGCTCAAGAAATTTAGGACACTTGATGAAAAAAGAACTTATTGACAAGCGAAAATGAACATAAAAAGTAATTTTAGATTTAGTAAAGAGCTGGACGCATGAAGTAATATCCCTCTCTATTTGGAGATATTGCAATAGTTCCAACATCTATGCATTGTCTAAAAATTGCACCTTTTGTATTTACTAAGAACATCCTAAAATTGATGTCCCATCTCACCTTTTCAGAGTCAGTTAACATTATAAATGATGAAATTTAAGTAAATAAGAAGAGTATACACATGCACCCTTTGAATCACAAGTTAAATACATCCTATAATTTTGTACTTGTTATAAATAGAATTGTATTTATGGTGAATCTATATTTAGAGAGATTCTAGGGTTTATTGCTTGGTGGCTAAGTCACCCTCTCCCTATAAATAGATGGTTCTATTCCATTGTAATTTATCCAATATCAATAAGAATTCTCTCTCTACTTTTCTCTGCAATACTCTCGTTCTTCATTTATTGTTTTATAACACGTTATCACGAGACTCTAACCAATTGAGTAGAAGCTTTGGAATTGAGCATAATGATTGTCAATTGTTCCATGAACTTCCTTCATGATTAAATTCTGGATTTAAGGCAAGTATTTTACTTTATTTTTTCTCTTTTAAATTCTTGACATTTATAATTTGATTTTATATAAAAGCAAAGACAACAAAGTTTGATTATAACTCTAATGGAGTTTGTAAGAAATTATAACCACCAGAAGTAGTAAAATTTCTATGTCTTGCCATGATCAAAGTCATGTATGATCGTGAGCACAAGAAGTGAAAACCTGTCCCATTGAATTTGGTCCATTCTCATTCCCTTAAGAGAATGAGATAGCAATATGCGATAAGTCTGAAAGAAGACAAAATTATTACTGTGAAGGTATCAATGGATGTGGACGTGGCAATAGACGAAATCATAATCATCATCATTGTGATAATGCAAATAATAAGGATTCTCAAAATAATCATTCACTCTGTGAAAGTAATATTTGTCATAGATTTGACATGAGATTTTATAAAACACATATAAATGATTATGGTCCATTCATGATGTGAATGTGATAATATCTGATTTATGAATGCATATTCATTCTTGAAATAATATGAACGTGCTAGTGGTAGTGAATATACCACACTCACCTCTAGAAGGAGGTTTGAGATGATATAAGAAAATAATATCATTATTATGGATAAATGATCATTGGTCACGTACTTATTGTACGCCAAAATATTTTGGCATTGTGATTATTAAAAGACAACGATAATGCAAGAAACAGATCTTGTATATAATTTTGACCATAACTATAATGGTATAACTTTCTCTTTAAAAGAGATATTCACCATATGGATGTTGATGAATATGTGGTACTACAAAATTAATTGAGAACTCTGCAAGAGCCAATTATACTATTTTGGAGAAACACAATTGATTACCAATAAGGTATTGTGTTGTAGTAAATCTCAAAGAAACTTATTCAGCTTCCAAAGTATATGCGAAAGCGGTTGATTATATTGAGACTATAAATAAAGGAAAGATTTAATATCTTCTATTACTACAACTTGTAGCGGGATAATTCTAGATAAGGGATCTACTCCGTAAAAAACTCAGTATTTGTTATAAATAGAATTGTATTTATGGTGAATGTCTATATTTAGAGAGATTCTAGGGTTCATTGCTTGGTGGCTAAGTCACCCTCTCCCTATAAATAGAGGGTTCTATTCCATTATAATTCATCCAATATCAATAAGAATTCTCTCTCTCTACTTTTCTCTGCAATACTCTTGTTCTTCATTTATTGTTTTATAACAGTACTTTATATATATATATATATATATATATATATATGTATGTATTAGGTACATTTTGTAAATTAAATAAAAACATACGATTATATATGATCAATATCATATTATATTACAAGATTTATGCGGTTGATTACAATGACTAACTTAAAAAGAAGAGCAGCTCGGTGCACAAGGCATTCTGTGTTCACACAGGGTCAAGGGAAGCGACGTACCCCAAGGAGTATTGATATAAATAACCCATCCTAATGCAAGCATTAGTAGCTGCTTCCACACCTCGAATCCGTGATTTATGGATCACACGGAGACAACTTTACCATTGCTCAAAAATTCCCCTCCAATAACAATCAATGGCTTATATATATAGTCAATAATAATATATAAATTGTTATCCATGAATAATAAGATATTCTTATTTAAAGTGTATTTTTATCTTTGTATTGCTCATCGAATACCTTAGTCCATGTCTATATTGCAAAAAGTAATGCATAGATTTATGCATATTATACGTAGGAATATTTATTCTAACTAAAAGCTTCATTAGTTTCACAAAATTATTTTTCCAATCCATTTAGCTAAACAATGTTATATTTTATGCTGGATTTAATTTTTTTTCCCTCTATTTATAAAAGGGAGTATAAAAGCTGCAAATGATCCAGCTTACTCCCGCCATTTCCACAGTGCGAGAGAGATGGAGATTGTATGAGAGAGCAACCGAAGAGCTCCTCAGATGAATCCCTAAAATTGGCGATTGCAATGGCGCTCGTCCGATCAAAGCTTCTCCAAAAACCTCCGGCACCACCACCACCGCAGCCTCCGCCTTCTTCCTCCGCTGCCGTTCCTCAACCTGCCGCTCCTCCTCCTCCTTACTCCGATGATGCTCTAAAATGGAAACGAAAAGTTCGATCAATCTCGTTTAATTTTTCGTTCTGATACTTCCACTTATCTCGTAGAAGTTGCGTGTGACGAATTTGAATTTGAATTAATTGTAAAATTTTGAATTATTAGGCAAAAGAGCGTAAATTAGAGATTCTCAGACTCAAGGAAGACCTCAAAGTAGCCGAAGGTTAGGATGAAAAATTCAGCTCACTTGTCATGTTATCAAACAATTAGTTATCAAATATCGATCTAGCTTCTAATTATCTGATTATTTTGCTATATTCCGAGTTCCGACCTCAAATTTTTCTAAAACTTAATTTCGCTTTTCGTTTTTAAATCAATATTGCAATGATAATAATAGTTTTCTGAGTTTTTTTTGCTAAGTTTTTTGATTTCAATTTAGCAATATATATATATATATATATAT